TTTTTTTTTTTTTTTTTTTTTTTTTTTTTTTTTTTTTTTTTTTTACGTTTGTTTTTTTTTTTTTTTTTTTTTTTTTTTTAAATTTAAAGGTTCGTTGGAAATATCAATCTAAATTATAAAATTCGACACGAACTTATGGGATGATCTAATATGAATGAAATTTTTATGTAAAACGGTACGTTGGTTACATTATTCGTCGAAGAGTTCACCAAAAGGTTTATCTCGTGAAAATAAATAATAATAATAAATAATGAAAATCTTGTTTAGATGATAAATTTTTGGCGTGAAAATAAATAAACAACGAAAATCTTGTGACGATAATAAATTTTTGCGTGGAAATAAATAATAATAATAATCTTCTTATGTATACCAATATGAAATAATGAGGATAAGATATATTTACATACAATATTTTTTCGTTACATGAGAAATTTCTAACAGTTTCTTTTACTACAGTCGCAGTGTTATTTTTAAAATTGAATAATGTTTCAAATGATTTTATTATAGCATAACCTTAACCAACGTTCGTTCTCGAATGACTTTCGTTGAAATGAATTTTTACAAAACTAATTGTTAAATATCTACATTAATCAAACAGGTGCAATTTTATCGTCATCTTTTTAGAATTCTATACTTTCAAGATATCGTTAGTTCTACTATTTATCACGTCTATGTTATTCCGATCTTGATGCTTGATCGTGTTAACGTTATCGATTTTTCTTTCCGAAACTAATCAATCGTAATTACTTTACAGAATTATGTTACTTTTACCTGACGCTAAAAATACTTGAAACGATTATCACTCTTATCTTAATTACACGTAAAAGACATTTAAATTTCCTATTGTTTCGTTGTAATTATAAATACCATGGTTTTTCTCAATTTTTTTTTTCGTTCCACGAATATAAAGGCGAATTAGAAATCGCCTTTAAAAATAGTTCCTCTTAACGTTATTCCATTTACGATATAAACTTTGTCTCTTCAATTATTTAATTATTTAATCGTGCAAAATATCAATAATAATAACAGTAATATTTGATGAAACATAACAATTTTACCTTGTGTCGCCTCGAGTTCCTTAATTAAGTAACAGAAAAATATTTACATTTGACGTGAAAATATGTAAATATGAGATATATTTATTTCGGTAGAAAATATAAAAACCAATCTGTAGTTCAATTTCATTCGTAAAAATTCCACTTATCGAAAGGTATCATTTCATCGAGGACTACCAACGACAAACGCGTGTTGTTAAATAGAAAAGAAGAAGGTAGAGTCGTGTAACGCGAGACATGTTGGATTATCACAGACTGAAGTACAACTAACTAAACATTAGTTCTCCATCATATTTTGTTCGTCACGTGCAAAAAGCGTGTAGAATTATTTTTTACATCGGACAATATGAACTAAAGGCATATCCGTATTATATCATAAGACACTTTTATAACTTCATGAATTTTACACTTTGATCCTTTCTGTTGCATCCGAAGTATCATTATTCGCTATTATTCAATCGATAACGATAGTTTATGTCTAACTCGACTTGCCACGCTCGAGAGAAATCTATTTTACTCGGCCGCAGTTGTAAATTTTTTTATCCTACATTTCTTTACACTGTGACGACGATGTAAGAAAAATTACTCTCCGACTGATATTTTTATTCACCTCGAAACATTTGGATCAAGTTTACCTGCACCCGTTCAATTCGTAACTGGTCTTCGATCGACATTGTAGAAATTTCTGTTATCTTCTCTTCTATAATATCTGCTTAAAATTTGGATGATCTTTAAATTTCAAATTCTATAAAGTTCTCTAATTTTCTCATTCGTCAATTGTCGCTTCTTCTTTTGCCAATTTCATTTCTTCAGGAGATCCAAAAGTCGTGTAAGCGACCGTTAAATCAATTTCTATGTTATTTGTAATAATTACGCTTATTACGTCATCCCGAAGAAATTCGAACGCTGTTTAAAATATATAAGAAACTTTTTCTATACCTTTTCACGACTTTCTCTCCGTATCGACTTCAATTCCCCGAGCAATTTCGACTTACCGATCGAACTACTTCACACTTTACACTTTGAGAACGTTCAGATGTACGGTTTAATTATCTCTGTGCGAGTGTAGAAATTGAAGTTAAAAAGTAACCACTTTTTTGAGAAACTTTAGTGGGTAAAGTATCACAGCGTTTGTCACGTTGCGAGAAATTGCACGAGTTTAGTTAAAAAAGAAGGACACACGTTAAACGAGAGTGTAAAATACGGATTACATTTCTCGATCGTATTATCAAAAAAGGAAGAGAAAAAAGAAAGAAAGTCAAAACACCAACAACGAAGTAAAAACAGCGAATTCCGTGGTCCAACTAACATTTATAAATCCTCATAGACACTTGGTCCAGTAATCTGGGGTCAAGTGTTAAATCAAAACTGATAACCACACGAACATGCAACCGTTATGTTGATACTTTGGAAAGTTGATGACAATAATGACAAATTTTCTGTTTCAGTGGAATTGGTAAAATTTGTTGGAATTTTTCATTCGATTACCGGCTCGAACACAATTAGAAATAATAAGAATCGTCGGATAAAAAGAATACTTGAAATTGTGTCGCTAATGTTTAAATGTTTAAACGTATTTTGCACATCGACGATTGAGAAGCCATTCCTTAAGGCGTTACAATTAAACTAATCTCAAGCACGCTGATAATCTCACGAATACTCAAAATGTAATTTTTTTTTTTCTTTTTTAGATATTGACCGTCTGTAATTATATTTTTAGAAGTAATTTCTGTCTTTTATCGTATATCTAACGAGATCGACGGAATTTTTTGACGAAACTGTAAGTTTCCTCTGAAAGTCGTGAAATTGAATGAAAATGACTTAACTAACGAGGGTAAGCAATTTTTAATAATTGGGTTTTGTTTATTTTACATCGACGCTCAGGTAGTGATTTGATATAATCGTGCTAGAAAATTGTCCATTTTCTCGAAACAAAATGTTACAAAGAATATTCATGTTTTCACAGGTTAAAACGAAAATCTCTTCCTTCGGCTGGTATTTCCATGTAATCGATTGGAAAAATCCACTATTTCGATATTTTGAATATTCTTAACATTCACATTTTCTCTTTTTTTTTTTTTGCTTCAAGTATTATTAAATATTATTTAAATTCGGCTGTTTGAAACTTACAAGAGACAGTTTCTAAAGGTAAATCGTGGAGTTTTTTATAAAACTTATTATACGCGAGATAATTCTCGAGAAAGTGTGTTTCATACATAACTGCATTCCATATTTAAAATTATTTCATTTGAATATTTGAAACATTTTTAGCCTAATAGTTTTTAATTGTTGAACAAGTTAAAGTTTATAATTTTATGTATTAAAATAAATGGTTTTTTCTTTTCTTTTTAATAACAAACAAAATATGTGATTACGATTTGTTAATTATACGTATGTTTGAAAATCGGTGATTTTGTATCTGAACACAGTCCTGTGTTAAACAACATGTAAACGTTTATTTATTTACAGTTTGCTTTCAACATTAAACGTAATTATGTTAAAGTAATGTACATATCTACAAGTAGTTAACATGATAATTGAAACACAAACTTTGTAATTATCTCAGAATTTGATATAATTGTATGCTGCATCTATAATTCCCATCCGAGCTATAATCGAATAAATATCGCACTATTTTTCATTTGTTTGCGAGTCAGAGTTACTAGAAATGCGAATTTTAAATTTCATTTTCGAAAATCGGCACTATTTTTGTTAACTTAACCTTCAGTCTCGATTGTAGGCTGAATTTATTAATATATAACACGTATTTATTACAGTATTTATTCGTGTATAGTACATATTAGTACATTTATACATACAAATTAATTACTTTTGTCTTTTAGGTTTTTTTCTGTCAAACAGGTCTCATAAAAAAGTTTGAATATATGAATTATTATCCAATATTAACATCCACATGTATTCCAAAATGTATTTCACATGTGAATAACTACATGGAAAATGCTAAATGTTACACGTTACAGTATTTTTTAAAAAATTTCCCAGATCTCCCTTTACAATTGAATCTTGGTCTACTCA